AAAAGAAATGGCATGATCCAGGGAACCAGATTCTGGGAAGCACACTGACGGGTCACTTTTTACAATCCTGGCCTCATTGTCCTGTAACATTTACGGAGCCCTTTGGGAACAAAGCTACACTCTGCCTCACAGACTGAACGCTGAGTTTAAGTGCCCGGTTTCCTTGCAGGGCCACAAGCTGGTCTGGTCACTGGGCTTGGCAGAGCAGTCCTGAATGGCCACTCTCTCTGAGCATGGGTCGTGGAACTGGACACAGTCCCTGCTCTACCTTGGGTTTGGAAGGCTTGCGCTGGTCCCAATGGGTACCCCTGGGAAGCCTGGGGATGACAGGACGTGGGGCCTGGGCGTGTGTGTGCCCTTGGAGGGATACTGGACTCTCCTCACCCCTCTTTCTCTTGGCTTTCTGGTCCCTGTGGGGGCAGCGGACTTGTTCTGCCACATGCTGCCACCTGATGTTCTATCACCCCAGGTGCAGAGCCAACAGACCATGGACTAAAACTCTGAAACTGTGGACCCAAACAAACCTTTCCTCTTTGTAAGTTGCTGAATGGAGGCATTTTGCCACAGTAACACAAAAGTCAACAACACGGAACCCCGATCCAGATGATGACCAGTGTCCCCATAACTTAATGTAAATCAGACAGACTTTAAGTGAATAGTTAAAGGCTTTTTGAAAAGATCTCTTAAAAAAACACTTGCACTTGTTACCAGCAGGGAATCTCTGGTTTAGTTTCTGTGCCTCGGTTTTACGAGAGAGAGAGAACGTCTTTCGGAAGGATCAGTAAAAACCAGCAAAGGGGGCCCCGTTCTGGAGCCCAGGGGCAAGGGCCTCTCACCTGGACTGCCTGCTGTCCACAGACTGCTCGCCGAAGGACGACTTTCTGAAGTGGACTCGCTCAATGCCCAGAGACTTGGGGGGAAGGATCCTTGGAGAGTGAGGTACTGAACTTGGTCGCTGCCCAGAGAGCGTGAAGGCATCATTGGCTAAGATAAATGCATGAAAGACCAGTGAATGAACACCCAAGAACCCAAGGCCCGATTCATTAGGCGCTCTGCCAAGATGGGGTTTCTAGGCATACAGGACCGTTCGGAAGGTGTTTTTCCCCCAAAATCTTATACGCCAGAAAAAAGGAATTACTGAGCGCTCCCCTTAGGCCTGCAGCAACTTTTGCCTATTGTCATCATATTATATCTTCTAAAAAGTCCACTGAAGACAGTCCCCAGGTGCCAAAGGCCAGGGAGGATCTGCCTGCTCACGGTGTTCGGCTTCAAAGCCCTTAGGCCTCTGTGGCGGGAGCTCACGCTGCCACAGGGCATCGTCACCTTCTCGGGGCTGCTGAGAACAGTTCAGCAGGAGACCCTGTCTCCAAATAAAACATAGAAAGGGCTGGGGACCTGGCTCAGGGGCCAAGCACCCCTGGCTTCAATCCTGGTTCCAGAAAAAAAGAAATTAAATGTCCGCAGTGGGGAAACCTGGTAAGGAACTGTGCATGACAGTTCTCTGCCGGTCTGCACTAAAATGAGAAGTTAAAAAACATTCCCCAGGGCCCTCAAATCCTTATCGAGGACCAACGCCTTCCTGCGGTGGTTTCCTGTTTCCCTGAGGGCCTGGGATCTGGGTGGTTCTGTGTTAAATGCAGAATCAACCCAAGTAGATCAGTAACCCTGTGCCTCCTTTCCCGACCCTTTCGCTTAAACGAGTTAGTGTGTTATGATTTTCCCCAAATGAAAACCAAGCAGGCTTTCTTAAATTAAAAAAAAAAAAAAAAGTCACCTTGATATTTTAGGATAGGCCATATTTTAAAAACAGGTGCCACTTACGATCGTCATAGGTGGCGGTGTCCGACAAGGAGCTGCTCTCCGAGGGGATGATGTCATCTGTGAACAGAGACACCTGTCTTTAGGATCCCGGGCATCACAGTAGGGGGAAGTTCTGCATAGCAGTTTCCAGCGGCGTGCGTTTGATTTTCATTGGGATCAATAGGACGGGTCAAAGCGCATTAGGGACACTGAACGGCTGTATGACTTGGTCCCTGCACCACAGAGGTCACAATGGACTGGCGGGAGATTGGTCCCAGGACCCCAAGGGTACCCAAACCCAGGGATGCTCACGTTCCCACGATGAAGTGGCCCAGGGTTTGCACTTTCCAGTGCCCGTCACGCCACCCAAGAGCTTGCTTTGGGAGCAGTTGTGACACTGGCAGGGAGCGGTGGTGGGAGGAGAGCCTGCCCGCGCTCGGCACAGAGGCCAGGGTCCTCCCCAAGGGTCTTCCCCCTGGGGCTGGGGGGAGCCGCAGGCCGTATTCTAAATTGGGGACAGAGGCCCAGGGGGTGGGGGTTTTCCCCGTTTTCAGTGTTTCCTCTCCATCCCTACGTTAGTGTGTGACAACCAGAAAGAAGAGCTGAGCGTCGGTGAGCCGCGTGCACCTCACTTCAGGGCGCTCTGCCAGGGGAACTCGGTCTGGGGCCCTCCACAGAGAAAGGGGCCTTTTGTTCACGTGGTGTGGGGAGCTCTCTCTTGGTCCCTCTAGGCATCATCCGGCTCAAGCCTAAAATGGGGACGAGGACACTGTCCATGTCACAGTGCCCAAGTGGCACCCTGAGTGACATGCTGACGTAAAGAGCTAAGCCCAGCTCCTGGCACGTAGCAAATCCTCAAAAAGTATCCACGATGCCCCGTTTTTGTCACCTGCTGCTGCGAGCTGGTTAGAAATGACAACCCAAATGCTCCGAGCATCACTGGTCACATTAGCACCTGATATTTTTGGGGTTTTTTTTTTTGGTACTGGGGATTTAACCCAGGGGCACTTTACCACTAAGCCACATCCCCAGCCATTTCTACTTCGAGACACGGTCTCGCTAAGTTGCTGAGGCCGACCTCCAACTTGCAATCCTCCTGCCTCGGCCTCCCGAGTCACTGGGAGGACAGGCGTGTGCCACCGTGTCTGGCTCGAATGTTAAAGACTGTGTTGGGTGAAGAGAAGACAGCGCACACGTGTTGATGTCCTCCTGCCGTCAGTCTCGAATGCTTTGGCAAAAATGGTTCAAGGCAGAAGCTACACCTCAACACAGCTTCAAAGCCATCATGGAGGGATGGCTTCATCCGGCCACGGAAGCGGATCTCTAAGGCAGAGCCTCTTCATTGGCCAGCCGTGGAACTTGAGGGCGCGGTGCCAGGACCGTCAGCTGGTGGGCACATTTAACAAAAGTTTCTGTCTCACGGAAGCTTCACCATTGGCACCATCTGCCCTCAACACCAGTCCTGATGGGGGAGAGCGCTTGCACCCTGTGGTCTGAGGATGAATGGGCGGTGACAAGTGGCACGGCAGCTAAGTGCCTCTCAAGCACCCATGTCTGTGGGCCAGCCTGTGCCAACTGCCACGGCCGACGCGCCTGCACATTCCCAGCCAAGCCGCCCGGAATTCCCAGCTGTGGTCGGCCGACACTTGCGTGGACGCCTGCACGTGTGCTCTCCAAACGCCGTGGTGTCTCTGCTGCGTCAGTCACAGGCCCTAAACCCCAGCACGTTCTCCACCCAGTCACCACAGTTGGCTCAACCTGTTGTGTCTCCCAGAAAAAGAAAATCCTGCCAATCATGATGGGAGCACACCGGCCAGATCCCGAGCCATCTCAGTCTCAGACATCCAAACGTGGAGGGAAAAAAGAATTCTCGGAATCAAAGAGATACAATCATCTTTCAGTTACCAAGACTAAAAACCGCGGCACATACACGCAAGGCCAGTTAGACTTGAAGTCTACCTGCGTGGGATTTCTTGGTCGGCTTTTTTTTTTTTTTTTTTTTTTTTTGTGAATAGAAAAGTCACAGATGCGTGATGCCGAGAAGCTGGACAGTGAAGCGGATCGTAATTGAAATTCCACGGCTATTAGTACCTTGAAAGTATCTCCCAAGTGGGTTCCGTGTGCCTGCTGACAGAGAGGGGACCCCACAGCGGTCACGCCCCTGCCTCTGTCCTTTCTGCACTCCATTTACACCGTCCCCGTTGGTCCCCCTCATTAAACAGCCTCCACCAACGGCAGTCGCCGAGCCCTCTTCTCCAGCCACGCACAGGGAGGGAAGGGTCCCCCAGGAGATGGGGTCTGCGGCACCGAAAACCTCTCAGAAACTCTGGGGTGGGTGAAGCCCCCGCTCTAGAGACCCTGCTGCCAAAGTATTTCTGGCAATGACCTTAGCCCAGTTAAAGGGGACGATGACGGTGTCTTATAATGAACCGATCATGCCGCGAAAGCCCTTTCTTCCTGAAAACGAGAGTCACACCATGGTCTCGCGTTACCCAGCCAGAGAGCCGTGGCACAGCAGGTCGGCAGACTCCAGCACCGGGATTCCTGAGAAGCTTGCTTTCCACCCACCAGGGCGCTCGCTCACTGCCTGCGGGACTCAGGAAACCTCGCGCCTCACTCACCGGCCACGGCGCCCGAGGCTCTCGGGCTGGCCTTCTTCCCGCCTCGGATGCGGTACTCGTTGATGGCGTTTTCGATCTCCTGCAGCTTCCTCACCGCCTCGGCGTAGTCCTGCTTCCGTCTCTTCCTCACCGTCTTGCACAGGTCGGGCTCGTTGGCAAGCTTCTTTGCGGCTTCGACCAGCTTTTGCTGTATCAGGAAGTTGCTCTCCAGGCCTTGCAGCGCCGGGTCCTGTAGACACACAACGGCACTTTTATCTCTGCACACACACACACACCCTCCTCGCTCTCTCCTGCTGGATAATAAAGAAGACTTCTTGTGCCTTCCTGAATCACGTGCTTTCTGGGAGCAGGAGCTTTTGAAGTTTTAATTCGTTGACACCCTCGGATACCTTCCGAGAGGATGAGAGGACTGGACACCCCCCCCACACACACACACACACCTTAACTTGAACCTCCCATTAGCCCAACCTCTTCCTGTTGTAAGGAGGGAGGCGAACTTTGAATATGCAAAGCCAAAGAGACAACAAATTTGGGTTTGATTCCTGGTGGTATGACCTGAATACTTCATTGTTTATTTTTTTGGCACCAGGGCTTGAACTCAGGGGTACACAACCACTGAGCCCCATCCCCAGCCCTGTTTTGTATTTTATTTAGAGACAGGGTCTCACGGAGTTGCTTAGGGCCTCGCTGTTGCTGAGGCCGGCTTTGAACTCGCAATCCTCCTGCCTCAGCCTCCCGAGCCGCTGGGGATGACAGGTGAGCGCCACCGTGCCCAGCTTGAATACCTTAATGTGCTGAAGAATAAATGAGATGCTGTATGTGTACTGCCTCAGCTCAGGGCTGGGTACACAGGTGAGCACTCATTCCATAGCAAAGCTCTCCCTGACAGAAACAGCTACTGGTTTCTAAAGCGAAGATGGTTGAATTTCTACAAGAAACGTGGGTAGGGACACACTGGTTGATGACCTGCACTCTGGATTAACTCACAGCATCTTTTAATTGCACCGAGTGCCGTGCATGGGTCACCTCATTTATAATGCTCACTGCATCCCTCGGACGGAAGAGCCACCGTTATTTCCATTTTTCAGAGAAAGAGACGGAGTCCCGAGAAGTGAGAATTTAGAGAGATCAGACTATGTGCCCAAGCTTCGTTTTAAGCCAAAGAATGAATCTTAATTCTTATAAAACGATTTCTCAACTTATAAACATTTGGCGTCCGTGGGATGTGACGAGGGAGCGAGACACTGAGAAACAGCCCAGTTTTAACAGGAGTGCGCGGAAGTGCGCTGCCCACTTCCACAGCTGAGATGAAAACATGCAGCAGTGGCTCAGAAACCACAGGACGGCTGGGAGCTGGCTCGGTGGTGGACCCGCTGCCCTGGGCTCACCCCAGAACCACAGAGAAACAAAACAGAAGGCGGGGAGCACGGGCCCTGGAACCGCAGGAGCCACCCCGCCACTCCTGGCTGCGCCTACCTCCTCGCTGGGCAGCAGGCTGTCCTCCAGCTTGAAGGCGGTGCCCACACGCCTCCTGACCTGGGGAGGCCTCTCGCCTGCGTTCAGGGGATACTCCTTGGGCACTTTGCCCGTGAGCTCCTGCAAAACGGGACAGGGTCCAGAGCTGGCCGCGGGCACAGGCCCCCGAGCGCCGGCCCGCCCTAGCCACAGGCCCCGGGGCAGGGCGCACTCACGGCCTCGCGCAGGCAGATCCTCCTCAGCTCCTCCACGTTCTTCAGGAGCTTCTCCTGCAGCTGCTTCTCCTTCCTCCTGAGCTCCAGGATCTTCTCGCGCTTCTGCTCCTCGCTGGCTTCGGAGTCTTGAGAACCTGGCGGGGGAGGCAGGGAGGTGGGCCCCAGGCACTGTCCTCCCCAGGCCGAAGGGCAGAGGGCCGGGAGCCCGGCTGGCTAGCAAGTGGGGGGCTTGGGTCTTTTCTCCTAGTTCACAACATCGAAAAGGCAAACTGCAGGACGTGAGACCTGTCCTCTGGGTGTCAGAGCCTCGCGCATCGGCTCAGTCATTTCGGAAGCAACGACAAAAGGCTTGTGTTTCAGACCCACCCAGAACCCTTTCCTAAGAGGCGCTAAGGGAGGGCCTTCCCGCCGAGGGGCACTGCTGAAGCTCCTTTGGAAACGCTCTTTGCAATTTGGGCTCAAAGCCCCGATGGGATTTCTGTGGGAAAATCATCACGCACCCTCAGTGCTACGAGATCCCAGACTGTCCACCCAGGGAGGGTCGAGGGGCAGCCACTACGTTCTGCCTGGGATCATGTTTGCATTGCATTTTATATTACAGAAGAATCGGCCAATGATCTCCAACGAAAACTAAACAATGGGAGAAGGTGATGATGGAATTGATGGGAAGAAATCTCCTTTCAAGCCGCCCCTGGATAATCCCTTTCTCTGCATCTAGCGCTATTTGCACAGCCTGTTTTTAATTTAGTTTTCATCATACTCTCCTGGATATCAGTTGTGGAATTACATTCCAAACTGTTACACATTGTAGGTTCTGATATACTTTGTTTCCAAAACAATGGATGGAATGGAAACATACATTTAAAAATGGCTCATAACAGTTTCAAAAAAATAAAAGATGGCGCTGTGTGTTTTCTGATCCCAAACCTTACCTGAGGATATTAGGCTGCCATTGCTGGCCATGATGAACTGACCCTTCGCCTCCAGGGTCACCAGTTTGGACACCCTTTGTGTTCCAGTGTCTGTCAGATCCATGGCGATGTCATCTAAACTCCTGGCTGTAGGAATTTTTGCCTACGAGGTAAACCACACAAACACAGAATTAATGCCATCAAGCGCATCTTGAATTAATAAAATGATTAAGCAACCATACGATAACAATGTTTTCATGAATATACACGACGCCCAAGGCACGGTTTAGCACCGACTGAAAGACACCGTAAGCAACCTCACCAACGCGCACACACACACAGGCATGGGGGCCCGCGACCTCGTGACTTCCAAAGCATATCTCCCACCCTTTAGGAAACACGTGGAGAGCTAAAACGGCATCGAGGTAAGAGCCAGCCACAGGAACACGGACCCGTGTGTGTGCACGTCTCCTGGAACAGCTTCCTTTCTGAAACCCAGCAAGACGGGTGGACATGTCCCCCGAGACCCGCGCGCACCACTTACTTTGCTCTGCTTGCGGTCCAGGTAGAACTGGTGCTGACTGATGGCCATGACCCAGATGGACTTGATGAGAGAAGAGTTCGCATACCAGGTTTGCACCAAGAGGCCGCTCTGCCCAAAGGTCCTTCTAGACACCGAAATCCTGGAGGATTACAGAAAGCACTCGAGCTATTTGCCTCTGGGCAGCACCACACCAAGGCCTCCCGGACATTGCCCTGATGCACACCCGGGCGACGGGGCCAAGCTTCTGACTTTCTCCTACGGCAAAACTACCCAGACCTGGGCAACGTCTTTCTGCATAGAACAAGCGTATAAGAAAACATGGTGCACACACTCAGAAGTGCATAGGGAATTAGCAGACGAGAAACCATAAAGATGTGTGGCCGTCTCAAGTGGTACAGGGTAAAAATGATTTTTTTAAAATAGTGTCTCACTAAGTTGCCGAGGCTGGTCTTGAACTTGCGATCCTCCTCCTTCGGCCTCAGGAACAGCTGGGATTGCAGGTGTACAAGCACCTTGTCTGGTTTTAAAGGTGGTGTTTCATTAAGGACATAGCAACCCACCCCTGTCGGGGTCAGCACCTGTCTCCAGGTGGAGAGAAAGCCTCCTCGGAGGAGGAGGTGGACTGACGTAACCTGAGGGTGGACACCGTCCACTGAGGATCGGCAAGCCTGAGGCTGGTCCACAGTGCTGTTGGCACAGCGGAGGAAAAGAGGAAAGTAGGAGGGGAGGAGGGCTGGCCAGCAGAGAGCAGGGGGCACCTTCATAACCGCACAGTTGTTTTCTTTTTAAATGAATTAAACGTGAGCCAAGCGTTCCATCTCTAAAGCAGTTACACAGACCACCAGTCAGCCCACAGAGACACGGACGGCCGTCATCAGTAGGAGACAGGCACTGCTCCTCACCAGGGCGCGAGGCACACCCGTGCCCACGTGCACACACACAAGGAGACCTCACGGGGGGCTAGTGGGGACCCACGGAGACCGGACCCACACTGCGGTGGGGATGCTGGGTGGCCTGCGGCTCTGGGAGAGCCCCCTCCAAGGCCCACCACCAACGGTCCGTGAAGGCTGGACTCACGCACGCACCTGGGCCCAGAGGGCCACAGGCCCCCATTTTGCTCGGTGACTAGGGCCACGGAACTATCTCGTGGGCTCACCTTCGAGGATCGTGGACCTCCACGGCAAACTTCTTCTCACGGAAATACAAGTTCTCCAGCTGCTTCCACTGGAACAACTGAAACAGGAAAAGAGAAGAGCCACGGGCTGCAGTCATCTTTCCCTCGACTGAGCTGCTCCTACGACGTCACATTCCTATGAAGACTCTCGCGGGTAAGGCTGGGCGGGTGAGCCACCTTCTCACAAAGCACCTGAAACCCTGGTGGTGGTAAAGGTCGCCCGTTCAGCCTCACCTCACGGGTGGGTAAGGGTGCCCTGAACCATAAAGCCAGGCGGCTGGCGGCCGGCCATGGGAAGCGCCCGGTGTCCTACCTCTGACTCAGCTTCCTGAGCAGGAGGCCTGCGCAGCTTCCAGTAAGCGCTAAGCCCCTCCAGCGCTCATTTGTGTTTCAATGGAAAGATACTCACAGGCGGTTTGCGCAGGAGCAAA